AAGACAGAGAGACACACAAAGACATAAGATTCAACAGTTAGATATACATCCTACACCATATGAAAGCAACCTGACTGGAAAGAGGTCATTCCAACATTAGATGACAAAGTACACGTGTAGAATTAACTCAATCTGCAGACAGCAGTATTGTTTCACCCTATGTGGATCACTCAGTTGAGAATGGCGCAGAGGAATGAGACCATACCTGTACTGGTAGCAATGAAGAATAACGTTTCCCAAATCAGCCCTGGGCATGCCGTGGCAACATGCTGGAACTAACATGTATGCGACAACAATTTCCCCTAGAGACAGCCCTACCAGGCTACCACCACAAGATTGGGAGAAAATATACAGTCTGTAGTAATATAGCAGTAACGTACGGTAGTGAGTGACTAATGACCCAGTGACTAGTGACCCAAATACATGTACTGGGTTCACAGATCATACAGTGTTTTCGGTAGGCTGCTGATGGGCTGATTATTGGGACGGTGAGGTAAACACTTTGGACAAGTATGACGACTATGAAGACACAGTTGAACTTGTATTGGATAAGGCTGACACCGAAGCTATTTGCCGTAATGGGTCATTGAACTGGACGGGCAAAACTCGTACCTCTGCCACTGAACGAGCGCAGAAAAGAGTCTATAGTTGCGAAAGATGACTTTCCATGTGGCCTCTTACATACCACTTGTCTTGCAGACCGTAGAGATAAATGACACCATGGACGGATTGAAGGAGAAGCCACACATATCAGTGATATTTGATGGAAGCCCCTAGCAAGGTGAGACCCCCATGGCCAGTGTATGGTACGTTGCCAAGGACTTCAAGAAGATACGCCAACGGCTGGTGAGTGTCCGTGTGCTGGCAAGAGTGTGACTGGTCAGCAGCTAGCAAGAGAAGTTATCACAAACAGTGCTCTCTACTCTCTAACTCAATTGCAGTATCCCAGCAATCCGGTCGTTACAGTCACACGAGATGTTGCAAGTGTCAATGGAACTGCGGTGGGCTACTTGAAGGATGAAATATACCCCCAGCTGTTTGATGTCACTTGCCTAGCGCACTCGCTGGACATAGTGGGAAAGCGGTTTGATACGGACATGCTAAATATACCCCCAGCTGTTTGATGTCACTTGCCTAGCGCACTCGCTGGACATAGTGGGAAAGCGGTTTGATACGGACATGCTAAATATACCCCCAGCTGTTTGATGTCACTTGCCTAGCGCACTCGCTGGACATAGTGGGAAAGCGGTTTGATACAAACATGCTAAATATACCCCCAGCTGTTTGATGTCACTTGCCTAGCGCACTCGCTGGATATAGTGGGAAAGCGGTTTGATACGGTCATGCTAAATTCGTTCCTGCACTCGTCTTTGGTGTTTGCTCAAAGCCAAGAATTGCATAGCGAGAGCACACAGGCGAAGCTATCAAGTCCTATTGTCAAACTCAATGGCGCAGTTGGCGGGGAAGCTTCAGCAGCTTCACAAGCTTTTTCATCACGCCTCCTCATTTCTACATCATTGGAGTCCTCACCATCTACTAGCTTGTGTGTGTGCAAACTTGCTGCATGTTCTCAGCAGTGTGGACAAGTTGAAATGTCTGCGCATGCAGATTGCTATAACCGTGGCTGGTGCCTGTTGGGAAGTTGTTTGTTTCAAAAACCCACCTTCGTGAAGGAGATGGCGAGCTGGTTGTGAAGGCCCACACATATCTTCAGGAGCTGGGGACAGCCTGGCCACTGGAGAATAACCCTGAAGCAATGGAAACAGCACGGTCTCTTGCTGGAGATCAACCAGACGTCATGCAACAGCTAATGGCTGAAGCCAAGCAGTGTGTTACGCCAGCAGTTCTCTATTTCTACAAGCGGTTCAACCATTGCGAAGGCAATCTCTTCACTTCCATCCAGATGTTCAAGACAATGCGCATTGTGTGTCCCATCCAAGCTAGACAGCTGTGAGTTGGACTGCAGCATGTTCAGGCTCTCGGCATACGGGAATGCCTAGCAAGAGCTTCCCATCTTTCTTTTAAAACGTTACTGCAGCAGCTGATAGCGCGGTGCCTGGCGGCAAGTATAAACGACAAGGATAAACTGGTGACAGAAGCAAGATTGCCTCCAAAACTGGCAACGGTCGGCCAAGATCATGTTTGCCCTCCTTCCTCATTCTGCCCCAGCTGAGAAGGTATTTCTTTGTTCCAGGCATCACCACCCAAGCAACAAGGTTACCAGCTAGTTGATCCACTGCAAGCATCGTTGATGCTGCAATATATTAAACCGGCAATAAGAGCCTCCGGAGACGTACATTGAATGGCTAGCTGCATGCTTGCCTCTACCAGTATAGTGGCAGACAACAACAACAACAACAACAACAACAACAACAACAACAACAACAACAACAACAACAACAACAACAACAACAACAACAACAACAACAACAACAACAACAACAACAATCTCTTATTGGCGATGGTGCCATCGTGAGAATAAAGAATTCAACAACAACAACAATATTGGCGATGGTGCCATCGTGAGAATAAAGAATTCAAATCAACAACAACAACAACAACAACAACAACAACAACAACAACAACAACAACAACAATTGCACGTGTTCCTCGTTAAGTGGATGACTGATCACATCTCACTTCTATGCTCCTGTTATTCTTGTTCATTGATAGTCTAAGTGAAGATTGCCTCAGCATGAAACAATTTCCAATCGGACCTCTTTTTCTTTCTTTCTAGTAAGTGATTGCGATGCAGTGTTTGGTCAGTTCAGGAGATAACCACACTGGCACACCTGCCCATTGAGAAGCTGTTATTTCTACATTCAGTGAAAGTTCTCTCTTTTGTGCATGTAATGGTTCTATTGTATACCCCCCCCCCCCTCATTTTCATCAGCACTATGTCTATGGCTTGATCCATGAGTTTCATGATCTTCATTGTGTTTCTGACTTTAGTACACTCCAAACCTTGTTGCTGCTAGCTGCAAAACCCATAGTACTGTAGCGGACATGGAAATCCAGTCGATTGACCGGGGCCGGCGCTCTCAGCGTGTACAGAACGCTGCGTGCAGTGCACGTGTTGATTCGATGCGACCAGAGCGCTGCAGCGCATAAATGCATGTGTGTACCGCTTATCGACGGCTGCATGGCCAGCGCCCTGGGGCCGCCAGACGTGCGACCGGATTTCCATGTCCAGGACAGTATGATTGTATTTTCACAAAGTACATGTGTTTTCTGACTATGATTACAAAGCATCCCAAAGCAGAGTATTGAGATTGCGCGAGCATAACGCGCCGGGGCCTATACACTGACACACACTGGCATACACACACACACACACACACACACACACCCTGACACACTGACACACACTGATACACACTGGCACATACTGACACACACACTGGCACACACTGACACGCACTGACACACACTGGCACACACACTGGCACACACAGACACACACTGGCACACACAGACACACACTGGCACACATTGACACACACACTGACACACACACTGGCATACACACTGACACACACACACTGACACACACACACACTGACACACACTGGCACACACTGACACATACACAGACACACACACCGACACAAACACCGGCACACACACTGACACACACTGGCACACACTGACACACACACAGACACACACACCGACACACACACCGGCACACACTGACACACACACTGACACACCCTGACACACACAGGCACACACCGGCACACCGACACACACTGGCACATGCACTCACCTGTAGAGAACATGAGAGCGGTGCCTAGCATGCGTAAGTAGATCTGATCAGCGCGTACAGGTAACGCTGCTTCCTCAGCCAACATATGATGACGCAATGACAAGAGCAGCTGCAGTCAGCAACAGCAGTTAGGATACAGCAAGTCAGAACAAGCAAACACCTGTTGGCAAGGTGAGACAGCAAAGACTTTCATCAGTACACGAACCCGCTGCCGCACAGACAAACGTATTCTTGAAGTACATGTACATTCACGCATGGCAGACAATGATTTACAGTTACACACACATATTCACGCAGACCTAAACACTAAAGGTGATGGCAGCAGTGCGACAGTACACGTAGAAGGCAAAGAAACTTGTGGTGGCGGACTGCATCATTCTAAAGCCTGCATGACTGAAGAATTCACAACACACATCTACTCTACTCTGGATAATTTTACTAGTGTTTTCAGGCCTATGCATTTCCAAGTGCCACTCATGCATGCACGCACACACACACACGCACACACACACACACACACACACACACACACACACACACACATGCACCCACACATTAGGGGTGAAACGGTTCGGGTAAGGAACCGGTTTTGGAACCGCCAGCTGAAAAGAATCGGGTACCCGTTCCGTCAAATTTCGAACCGAAACTCAGAAGAATCTCGTTCTTGTACAAGTACATGTACACATCAAGTCTACTCAAGATTTTAAATGTCTTACCTTACGATCCCCACTCTTCCAAAGAGTTCTCTGGTCATTATCTTCTTCGCACTTGGACTCTCCGATGTCTCATTCTTGCTCGTAAAAATGTTTTTTCTAAAAAATATTTGTTGCGAACGCTTTTTGTCGATCTGGAGAAAAGAGTGCATGGAACCGATACCCGGTACCCGAACCGTGGGAAACAATGCTGGCATTCGGGTACCCGAACATGAAAAACATGGAACCGTTTCACCCCTACCACACATGCACCCACACACGCGCGCGTGCACACACACACACACACACACAAACGTACGCGCGCACACGCACACACACACACACACAGAATGTACCTCCTTGCTCAACCCGGCATATCTACGGGAGTCCACATCACAAGTAAGCAGGTCCTCCACTGAAGCATACAGGCACAACACAATGCGATAGCACAACACAACACAACAACAAACAGTGCACGATGTCATGAAGTACATGTAGTTGATATTCAATGTCTTCAAAACTAATGTTGCCTACAGTCCATTCAGAAAAAGATGGACTTCTAGCTTTTGGCCATAAATGGGTCAAACTTTGAGTTTTTTTAGAATTTTTTTCTGCAATCCCCTATGGAATCCTCTTCCAATTATGTTTCCGAAGTCTATTTGTCCAAAAAGCAAGCCATAACAAGAATAGGATATCGGCCAGGTTTTGCCCCAGAAGCATTGAATTGGGAAAAACCATCAAAATCCAGGCCGTTGGACCCTGCCTACAACAGTGCATTGTGGGGTTCAAACCCCAGTTCAGGTACCCTTTTTGGACTCTTTTTCAAAGTTCAAATTTCGCAGCACTGCACTGTGTACAATGAAATCACGAATAATCGCCAAATACGGGAGCTCGCCAGAGCCCATCTTTTTCTGAATGGACTGTAGTCCTCTACAAGTAAACTATAGTGCACTCAAACTTGCCCTAGTAGAACAAGTACTTGAAGTAGAACAAGCAGTACACTGCATGCACCGTATTACTTCTCACCAACACTGGTGCAAAGAAGCACAAGTTGGGGAGTTTTTACAAAACCTGTCCAGACGTTTCGTTGCTCTGAACAACATCGTCATTGGATAAAGAATGGAGGGATGTGGGTGATAGCAATAGTTAAAAGAGGGAGTTGGTGGTGATGAGATAGGTGATATGGTGCGGGTGGGGATATTTCTTAGCGGTGGTGGAGTTGTGGTACTTTGTCTCACCTGTATTAACCCGTGGCACCTCCCCTGCACTACTCCACCACCACCTCCCCTGCACTACTCCACCACCACCTCCCCTGCACTACTCCACCACCACCTCCCCTGCACTACTCCACCATCACCTCCCCTGCACTACTCCACCACCACCTCCCCTGCACTACTCCACCACCACCTCCCCTGCACTACTCCACCACCACCTCCCCTGCACTACACCACCACCACCTCCCCTGCACTACTCCACCACCACCTCCCCTGCACTACTCCACCACCACCTCCCCTGCACTACTCCACCGCCACCACCATCACCTACAGCTAATCTACACTCTTGCTTCACTTTTCTACAGGTTTTTTCACTACTAATTTTTCTCACCTGTATCAACCCGCAGCACAGACCTGTATAACAATGTGTGTGTGTGTCGACTACGGTGCGACAGTGTCAATATTCTAGGGCGAGTGTGCAGCAAACCTTACCTGGCTGTGTTAGAGACTGTGAATATTGATAATCTGAAGCCTGATCTGTCTGTATAACTGGTATGTGCAAATGTTGTCACTGTTTCGACATTGTAGTCCCGTAGCCCTCATCGTAATTTGTTGTATGATGATATGCTGTGTATTGCTGGTTTCGCTATGTAGTTGGCGCCACTTGCACTCTCCCAGGTACCATTTTGTCACTGCTTTGCACACCTAGACAGCTAGATAAAGGACTTGTTTGCTGCTGTTGCTGCTCATATCACCAATGTTTTCGCTATGCAGCCACCGCTATGAAGATGATGGTGGGAAAGTCTCATTGTATTTACCAGTGGCGTCTGTGCTACAAGTGCTAAAAACATGTTTGTACACCGCAACCAGTGACTAAGTTACAGTCAACTTCTGAAATGCGCGGTGTGCGTCAAATTCGAGGAGCAAGTGAAAAGCAGCAAGAATTTCAGCGAGGCTTTCATCGTCGGCTCAAATTTGAGGACGTCCGCATTCAAAGATACGTCCAGACATGTCCGGCTAAAAATGGAAATGAAAGGACATGCCGTCCGAGCACTTGGAATTTCTTCATATGCCCGGTTTTGCATTCAGTATGTGGTCACGGTGTACTAATGCTTGGATGTTACTTGCCTGATGTCAGTTGATTACTTTTCGTCCTGGCACCAGTTTGGCATTCTTTCTTTTGAAGTTTAATGGCGAGACGGTGATTTTGCTCTTGCTGTGAGTGTGGTGTGTGGGTCAGTTATCAAGATAGGACTTGACAAGTGCAAGAAGTTGTGTTCTGTTTTGACTCTATTCGTGTTATTTGTGTAGTGGGGTACCTATATATGGGTGGGTAGGTTTCCATATGCCTTGTTATGGTATGTTGCCTGTGGTTTACACACATGTTTACACACATGTAAACAAATATACAAGTATTTCGAGGACTGAAAAGCGACCTATTTGGGATCAGCTAGGAAAGTCTACATTGCTGTTGGGGATTTGAACTGTGATGGCACAACACAAATCATAGATTATTCTGCCATGTAAACTACTATTAGTCATGAAAAACGGGCATTGGCTATGATTCCTCCTATCAATGCAGGGCGAGTTTACAAACGTGCAATATTTTTGCTCATCACCTCGTACTTGTTCGCACTGAGATTGGCATTGGTTTACTTTTCTGCATTTTTCAGTATTAATTTTACATTGCGTTGCACGTTTACTTAGCTTTGTCAGCACATGTACAATCCTTCTGACGAGATGGCTGCAACATATACAATAAACTATTAAGTGAGTGCATTAATTTGAATGAATTTTGACAGTACCACTATAATGTATTGTTATACTCAGCTCATATTAACCCCGGCCCCCATTAATTCCTGTGATCTATAACTGGGGTTTATATCTCCATATTCACCTCGGGTTTTTATAGCAGTGTTCATATTTTCATAAACACTACGACATCGATGTTTATTCTATACATATTCACTCACCGGTTCGTATTTGGTGGCGATACAATTTGGTGAGGAGATCTGCAGGCACTGTATCTCCAAGTGCACGGATTAAACTAGCCATACTCTACGATATTGAAGCAAAACACGACACTGATGGCCTTTGTATACAGTTATGCCTTCAACTAACTAATATTTTACTTGAGCTAACACGTTACTTGCCGAAACTGGCTGAAGCGTCATACACTGTACATGTACCACTTTATCATAATGAAGAATTAGATATCTCGCGGGAAATTTTGAAAATATTAAAAAAATACACAAAAATCAGGGAGTCGTAAAATACTCCCTGACAAAAATACTTTATTTATACAGTGACAGTGATCATAAAAATGTCATGCATGTGATAGCAAGACTACCCCAAAGAGTTCATAACCCCCCCCCCCCCCCAAATGCCCAATCGCCCAGGGAACTTGAGGGGTTATGAACTCTACTCTAGTCTAGGTGATACCTGGATACTGGGCCTATATTATGGTGACTGATGGTCTTTATCTTTTTTTTCTTCAGACTTGCCCCAGCCGTTTGCACCTTTTTCTCAAACCAATGAACATTGTAGGTGAGTAATACAGCACCGATATACAGTGTATAGTACCGGTATGCACTCGGCTTGGCACATTCCGATATAAACCAGGGGACCGTCAGGTATCTGACGACTCCCTGTAATAAACCGTGATGATCATTATTATTACCGTATGAACATATTCAAGTCTGGACTCTACAATTGCCAGTCCGAGGCTATGTAGTTGTACTAGTTGAGTAGAACTACAAAAACATCATGAATGTCATCATGCGGCTAATGTACATGTAGTACATCAGTGCATCAGTGCATGGTTGGTTGCCGCCCACACTTAGACACTGGCTATTATTATAGTAGTCACTGCAATCGTGACTCTGGAAGACAGAGGTCATCGCCGGTGTCTCGTGGCAGGCTGACAAAATCACAACTTTGGGGATAGAGAGAGCTACGTCCCGAGCTAGTTCCGGCAGCACGCCGGTGACACATGCTGAAGGCTGGGTGGAAGGTATTTCACAATGGTAGCCGGCCGCCGGGTCAGCCAGTAAAGTAACTGCTAGGTGCCATTCCTGGACTGGGCCACGGGCCGCCGCCGTGACTCCCCGGCCCTGTAGCCACGATGATTTCTGATGCCCCCCCCCCCCCCCCCCTCTGGCGGCATGACATCATACACTACATGCACTTGTCGACAAGGAATGTTGCAGCATTTCTTACAGCTTAGAACGAACCGGGAGAGTCATCATGATCGACTCATCGAGTCATTGTGAATTCTGATCAGCACTACATGGCGGCACCCGACCGGAACATGAACTGATGCCGCGAAGAAGAAAAAAAGCGAGACATAACGCGGAATAGCGCAGCATGCCGAGGCAAACAAAGGGTGGGAAACAGACAGCAATAGTGAACTACTCAGTCGACACTGCAGTCGGTACAGCTAGCAGCCGTTACCTTATTCTGATTTGCCATTTTTAGTACGCTAGGCCTTTCCCTTATGCCGAAGACACCAACCGTTAGCAAAACAACACAATTGTGATCATTGTGAATGGTCCCAGTCTGACTTATAGAAAATCAACAGCTTCGGGATAGTTGAAAACAGCAGTTTCAGCGCCGACATTGATCTACACCCCGGCATTGGAATCAAAGCCCAGCGCACATGTACAAGACACCACAGTGAGACCATCGAAAGAAGAAACTTAACTTGCAGCCAGTTAGGTAGCCGAGTTGTGATCAACATCAACTTCAACATTCGTTGCCCACATGTCCATGTCACTAAACTTGGTAATGACACGTAAGCAACACAGTCTTGCTGAACGGAGAGACACAACCACCTTGTTTTTGCTTGTATTATAGGAGAAATAAAGTATAAGCAACCGTAATCCTTGCGAGGCGGAAGAACGTCACACAACAGCATGCCACAAGAGAACCACCCCGGTATTCTGGTCTTGCATCCTGCACACAGCAGTCTGTTGCGGTGGTGGCGGCCTGCATGCTCGGCAAGCTAGTCATAATTCTTTCACGCCATGGTCACCAGCACACACTACTTTGGCCTTATCCAGCTCTTGTCGGCCTAGAGACTTGTAGTCAAACGTGCAGCTGTGTTTCTCTGGATAGCGATGCAAGCTGCAAAAGCGCATGCCACAACGGCATTCAATGTCTGCATGAACACACAGAGGAGTAGTGTGAAAACCAGAAGACATCAATGCCCACATTAAAATGTACATAGGCAGAAGGATGTGTGTGTGTGTGTGGGGGGGGGGGGGGGGGGTAATCTACTTGAGTTTGAATTTTATCCTCTTCTCGTCAATTGATATACTATATTGGATGTTTTGGTACGAGTCAGACTGACTTTCCGCATTCTCTGGAATGCCACCACCCTCAAGTATCCAGGCACTACGCAGCTCTTAAAGCGGACATAGGCGAGTACCGTATTTTCCGGAGCCTACAGTACAAGCCGCACTGGAGTACAAGCCACACTGGAGTATAAGCCGCACTGGAGTATAAGCCACACTGGAGTAAAAAGGCCGATTCACAATACAACATCTTGCGACGCGACATGCGACTTGTGACACCTGCGACAAGCTGCAACAGCGACGCACGGTTCACAATCTTTTTGGTGTTTGCGACATCCCTATGCACTTGTAGTTGTAGTACTATGCACGTGCACTTAACGTGCACTTAACGTACACTTAACGTGCACTGAACGTGCACTGCACGTGCACTGAACGTGCACTGCACGTGCACTGAACGCACCTGTTGCAGAAGTTGAAGAAAGTTCAACTTTTGAGACATGCGACGCACGAATGGAGTACAGTTTCTACCCTGGGTGCACGTGCAGTGCACGCGACAGCTCGCGACAGGCAGTTTCTTGTCGCAACTGTCGCGAATCGCGTCGCAGAAAGTTGTATTGTGAATCGGCCTTAAGCCGCACTGGAATACAACCCGCACAGAGTATAAGCCGCACTGGAGTATAAGCAACACTGGAATATAAGCCGCACTGGCGTATAAGCCACACTGGAGTATAAGCAACACTGGAATATAAGCCGCACTGGCGTATAAGCCACACTGGAGTATAAGCAACACTGGAATATAAGCCGCACTGGAGTATAAGCCACACTGGAGTATAAGCCACACTGGAGTATAAGCCACACTGGAGTATAAGCCCGTTTTTGCCATGAAATACAGACATCTATCCTATTTTAATAGACCTATGAATAAAATGAATAAAATGAAGGCCGCAGGCAGCACTAAGTCACTCGTCCGTGACATTTCAAAGTTATGGGCAGTGCTCATTGCCAGACTGCCCGGATAAGAGAGATATCAGTGTACAGTCAGACCTCGCTTATCCGGTTCTCTTTGATCCGGTCCTCTTTTATCCGGATCCCTCGCCATCCGGAAGAAAATATTTACAGCATACGTGATGCATCCAACAAAACCGGTGTTCGATTATCCGGTTCCCTCGTCTGTCCGGATATTTTTGTGGGACGCGGATGTGTGCGGTTAAAAGCGAGGTCTGACTGTAGCAAGAAGTTATGTGTACATGTCCAGTGACTAGTGGGGCAGTTGACTGTATAAAGTAGTAGCCTGGAGACAAACACCGTACTGACTACACTGTATAGGGGTTTTACACTAGTATTGTTGACGACCCTCCAAACCAGGCTGAATAGTGGCGGTCAATTCTTCAGCCTTGCAAGCTGTTGAATCGGGTGCAATCCCAGCACAAGTTGCTATGGCTTCTGCTGTAGCATCGCTATCATCGCCTCCGGCGATGGGCGTCAACTAGGCCGTGGTGCTCGGGCGTCTCTGTGTGTGTGTGTGTGTGTGTGTGTGTGTGTGTACGTGTGTGTGTGTGTGTGTGTGCGAGGTGTGTGTGTGTGTGTGTGGTATGTGCTTGATTCATGTGATTGCACCAACAGATGTGTACTGTCACACCTGCTGCAACCCAAGATGCCCTACAGTGCTACATAATGTTGTCTCCTGTCGGTATGATGCCTCTCTAGGGACAGAGTGATTTACCGACATTCTCTAAGCTCAATGCCCGGGTTTCAATATGTTTTCATAAGTTATTTTGTCGTGTTTCTCCCCTGCTACCCCCATTGATCCATTGTGACAGTTTCCACCATTCACAAGTAACAAAGGATCCAATTCACCAATTCAATAAATTGACATGAATAACTCCCCAAAAGAGGTTTACATACTCTGAAGTACACAAATCAGTCCCAGCTCTTGGTAGCCTCTCTAAGCCTCTGCACAACTGTCTTACCTGTAAGACTAAGTTTGGTCCGGCATGAAGGGAAATGACAGCGGCGTTTCTTAACCGGCCTTGTGTGGTGGCTAGCAGTGCCGGCTCGCGGAGAGCTTTTCGCCGTGTCACCGCCCGCTGCTGCTGCGCACACAGATGCCAGTGCTTCTGCATGGAAAGGTGCTTGGCCAGTACTGGACTCAGCTAGCCCTGCCGCTGGTGAGCCTGTATTGGTATTATCGTCTACAACACTGTTCATATTATGTGAACAGGGTTGCGTTGTCGTGGTGGCGCTGACCCCGGTAGGCTCCTGAAATAACACACAGTCACGGGTAGGATATCATGTGACACGACCGTCAGTGGTAGCACATCATGTGACACGACCGCATTCAAAGCCAATCATGCAGGCTGCAAACGGACTTTAGTGAGCCCCACTGGTCCCCATACTTACTCAGTGGCCCTACATCAGGGAGGTTTCGCTCTACGGAATTACGTATGAAAATAACGTAGGAACTGCACGTAATTTTCATACGTAAAAATCAGAGCTGTTGGGTTTCACTCTACGTGATTTCGTACGACTGCTAAACATGCCTTATTGCTTTGGAGACGCGTTGGCTGCATGCGCCCACCGCACGAACCGAAACCGCGTTTTCTATTTTATTTTGCACGTGGCGTACGGTGTGTGTGTACCCTGTGTTTCACGCGTCTTGAACGTTGCCATGGAGAAATCCGGAAAATGCAAAAAATATTTCAAAAAGTCCTACGGAGGACCCAACGTAGGAAAGAGCTTTCCTATGGAAATCCGTAGAGAGATTTACGTATGAAAGTTGCCCTCGCTCCCTGGCGCGTACAACATATGGATTTTCATACGTAACTACGTAGAGCGAAACCTCCCTATCATTGTATTGTATTACTTACTGCAAGAAATCAACTCAACATACAGTTAGTAGCAGTAGTAGCAGCTGCTGTACACGGAACAACACTATTCTGCTAGTACCTGACTGGATGCTGCAGTGGTTGCCGATCCCGCCACCGCCACCGCCGACGCCACTGCCGCTGACCTAGATGATGATGCATTGGCAACCGTGTTTGCATTATGCCGTGTTGGTGATGGTGCAACGTCGGTTGGGCGCTCGTTACTTCCCGTCATACTTGAACCTAGCAAACAATATCAATGCGGTTGCCAGTCACGTTGAACTTGGGACATCCCACCAGTAACTCAATAACTACTGCATGTACAGTGTACAGTGTACAGTGTAGCACATGCAGCAGGCTGCACTGTGCATGTACACAGTGACTTTCAAGACCAGGGCAAGGCAACACGATTATCAGGTATGGGACTCGGGTTATTCTCTAGGCCTAAGCTGCATGTACATCATGTAGTGTTACCTTGGAAACGCCACATTTCATTGTAGTCCTTATATAGCACGGCATCGTTTCAGTCCTCTCCACAGCCCATTCCATTAAAAACTGGCACTGTAACCTATTGGTGTATGGACTTATTTTGGATGAATGGACTGTACACCCAAACCTTAAATCGTCAATATCAGCAAGCAGAAGCAGAAACAATCCAGATTCCCCAATGAATAATGTTGTCCAACTCCAAAGAAGAGGCAGTTTGTCCGCTACAAAACTGTTGTCTGTGGATCGTGAAACACATTGAACGGCTAGACAAATCACCCTCATCCAGCATTAAATTTAGTCTAAAAATTCTTGGACAAAGACGACAAAATTACATACGTGGTGGATGTTTCTGCATGCACACTAGATGACAGCAAAGTTACGTTGGAGCCTAGAGACGTAATACCGTATTATATACCGAGCACTAGGGACCTCTAGGGGCAATACGGGCAGACATCGAGTACTGTATTGTCCGTTCCGTATGAGGTAAATGACTTGCCGGTACATGCCTACATGCCTACATGCATGTACGTACTGTACTGAATGCTTGGGTTCAAGGTCACTGATTCAACCAATGTTACCAGCACCTGCAGCACAGTGGCTGCGTGTCTGGGTGTGAGGGTGTGGTGCAAAAGAAAAATCCACCATCGGGTTTCGAACCCAGCACCCCTGTCTTTCCGGGACAGTGCCCTACTGATTAGGCTACCAGGGGTCACACACACACACCTTCCTTCCTTCGCCCACTGCCACGATTGGCTATGTGTCCCCAAACAGGGCGACTTGAAGGAGTGCTGTCTTCGGGACGCGGCATGAGGCCCTGCGAGTCCAGCGGGACGTGAACGGCTGTTTCACTGTTTGTTTTTTGCTTTTGCGGAGCGACGGGAGGTGCAACTATGTCTAGCGATGTCTTGAGGACGGCTGAAACGGCGTGTGCAGACCATACACAGGAGTGGTTTCACGGCAGGTTGTACACGAGAGCATACCACGCTGTAGACTCCATCCTGACACCTGGTTCTCCACTCAGACCTATCATCTGCTGTGTCAAGCCACTCATTCATGCCAATGGACACCGCCGCCAGGTCATGTTTGACTGGGTCTTTCCACCTCTTCCGGGGGCCATGTGGAGGTCGTTTAGACGGCAAGGCACCAAAGAGCAATTGGCGGGGAATACGGTCATCCATGCGAGCCAGGTGGCCCAGCCATTGGAGACGACGGCGCCGGACCTTGTCAGAGACCTGCTCCATGTCTCCCCACCACTGCCGTACCTGAAGGGTTGTTACGTGCTCGTCCATCTGGCGCGCCCGACTGATGCCCAGGACCATGCGTATAGAACGCAGGTGGAACGACTCCAGACGCTGGAGATCCCGTTGCCTCGGTGTCCAGTTCTCAGCACCATAGAGGAGTACCGCCAACACAGTGACTCCGTACACAACACGCTTGAGACCGATAGGAAACTCGGGGTTCGCAAACACAGCCTTCTTCAAGGCGCCAAATGCACCCGAAGCTGCGGTGATCCTGCGAGAGACATCAATGGTACTCCTAGCATCAGGAGTGATCTGGCAGCCAAGATAGCGAAAGCTGTCCACGCATTCGACGGTTCCACCCAAAGGCAACATATCCGACGCCACCACACCAACGCCCATAGGCATGAACTTAGTTTTGCCCAGGTTGACTGACAGGCCAAAAGATGCTGCAACCTCCCGAAACGAGGCCAAAGCCCTTTCAGCACCACCGTAGGTTTTGGCGAACAGTGACGAATCGTCCGCAAACTGACACTCCGTTATAGTCACTCTGCGACACTCTCTATGGCGCGTATTGAACAAGCAGTCTCTGCGGAACTGCGACACCTGGATACCAATATCCCCGTCCTTGGCGATGGTAGCATGCCACTTTTCCACAACCGCACCCATGAACAAGTTGAACAGGATTGGGGCCATAGTGCATCCCTGACGTAGGCCATTTCCCACCGGGAAAGGGTCCAGCAGATCTGCGCCGAGACAGATGGATGCAGACATGCCTTCATGGAACGACCGAATGATGGAGATCAGTTTATCCGGCACGCCGAGCCTGGAGAGAACCCTCCACATGGCTGCTCTAGGTACTGAATCGTATGCTTTGCGCAAGTCGATGAACACCGCAGAGCCCTTTGATGAATGTTCATGCAATTTCTCGGCAACCTGGCGTACTGAGAACACCATGTCTGAGCATCCCCCTACCACGGCGAAAACCACACTGGGAGTCAGGCAGGTATTCCTCTCCAACCAGCTGCAGGCGATCCGCTATTATTCTGGCCACCAGCTTGCCGACCACGTCTAGAAGCGCAATGCCTCGCCAGTTACCACGCTCACTAAGATCACCTTTTTTGGGAATTGGGATTAAGATGGCGTCTGCCCAATCCTGAGGAACCCTTTCCGTCCGCCAGACTTCAGCCAACAACATCTCCAACCTAGGCACCAGTTCAGAGCCGCACTTGAGCATCTCCGCTGTTATCTCTGATGGACCACATGCTTTGCCATTTTGAAGAGCTCGCATAGCACGGTGTATCTCGCTGCAGGCTGGGGCGTTCTCAAGGTCAAGCCAAATCGGTAGCTGCCCAATGGAATCAATGGCATCTGGGACAAAATCACTGATCACGTTTAAGACACCGTCAAAATGTTCCCGCCATCGCGTGCCTGTTGCCTCTGGTGTCTCGCACACAACACCCTGCGCATTCTTGATAGCAGCTGTCTTGCGCGGCTGCAATCCATCAACTGCAGTCTGGATCCTCTTGATGCACTCCCAGCCTCCTTTAGATGTTAGACTAAAGCGCTCGCAGTCCCGAGCCTGCTTTCTCAGCCAGTCCTGTTTTGCTTGACGAACGATACGGCGAGCTGAACTTCGGGCCTTCTTATACAGCTTCTGATCACTTGCCCTGTTGGTCGACATCCAGGCTCGGCCAACAGGGGGGGGGGGGGGGGGGGGGCAAGTGAAGTGACACACACCCACACCCACCGACACACACACACACACACACACACACACACACACACACACACACACACACACACACACACACACACACACACACTTGTACTAAGCTAGTATAGTTGCTCACTGCCAAAACTGGTCACGTGGGTCTCCCTGGGAGAGGGGAGAGAGACTCAAAAGGAATCTTGGAAAGATGACTCAAATGGCTATTGAACCGCCCAACGGCCGACACCCCTGAAATCCCCAAACTCTGGGGGGGGGGGGGGGGGGGGGGGACTTATGAATGATCCCACTTATGGACTCAGCACACCTCAGCACTTGAAGTGGGCATCAGGGTATCCGTCCCGGGATCCAACTGCAGTTACCCCTGCCCCAGTGAAGGTAATACTTGCTACTAGTGTGGGCGGCTAAACCAGAGTGGATCTGATATAAGCTTCACTAGCACCATTGATTACACAAGAGTTATTTAAATCTAGCCAGAAGCAGTCCATGGTTAACAGGTATGTATACTTCAAATAGAAAGTACATGAACCCTGGAACCAACAAAGGTGGCAGGTACAACATTACACCTTCAAGCAGCCGAGCCCATTGGCAACAGACCCAACCCAATCAGGCATAAGTGTACCCACCAACCGAACTAGCTGGCACACACACACACACACACACACACACACACACACACACACACACACACACGCACACACACACACACGCACACACACGCACACACACACACACACACACACGTGGGTCCTTCTTGCTATGGGTGCTATAAGGGTCAGAGGCAGGGATTACCGTATTTTCCGGTGTATTAGCCGTACCATAAAATGCATTAAAAAAAACTCAAAAATCGGCCCTGCGGCTTATACTCCAAATCCTGGATGTGAATCGATCAGCGCGGCTACAACACGCCGCCATGCATAGATTGCATGTATGGTATCCATGATTCGACTACTTTTCATGTACTGCTGCAATCCATCATCGCACTAGCCCCATGTTTCTACATGTTGTCAGGTCTGAGTGAAGGACAAACTAGGCTACTTTTGCTAGAGCTTCAGTCGTGCTTCTCCACGTTTTAAATATGAGCAAAGTCTGGCGCAGAAGATATTCAGGCTAGAATAGAGAGATGCTGCGAACAGAGCGTGAACTGAGCTCCAGACTTTGTATGTCCTCTACCCTCATTTTTCCTATTCTTCTGTAGAACTGCGGACCGTGGGCACTGACCCGGCAACTCAGTACTCGGCTGGACGCATGGCATCGAAGGAAATTGCGGCACCTGCTTGGTGTTGTGTACCCTCAGCACATGTCAGACGCCACGGTGTACTCCTCAATGGGACACTGAGACCCAGTCACCACTCAGACTAGTAACTGTTACAGGCCCGGAGCCAGCTCCTGGGGGGGGGGGGGGGGGGGGGGGGTACTGTACGAAATTCTCAACATACGAATTCCGTGGGAACTGGAGGATTAACTAAATTTATATCCTCATCACTGACATCAGGCTCATGCTCATTATTCCAACAAGAGAATACATCTTGACTCTTCCTTTCAATAATTATTCGCTCCAAAGAAGTCCAAGCAATGGACGACAGATAACTCGAAAACAAGAATGATTTCATTTTACAAGAGCATAGCAAAAAAGGAACAGCATGCGCACACAAAGGGGTGCGCGCGTATGTAGAACAAGTTATACGTGCACACGTTACACGTATCTGTGTCCGCTGAAGAAGTTACCGGTACGCAGAAACAGTTACGTAGTATGAGACGCACCCTACAAACGAGCGTCTGCAATA